CACACACACACACACACACACACACACACACACACACACACACACACACACACACACACACACACACACACACACACACACACACACACCACACACACACACACACACACACACACACACACACACACACACACACACCACACACACACACACACACACACACACACACACACACACACACACACACACACACACACACACACACACACACACACACACACACACCACAGAGTGAGCCGAATAATCTCATAAACAGAAAGTCTATTAGTGGAAAAAGCCAAGGACAGAAGCTTTAACAACAGGCAGCTTTTAACCATCAACCACTTTGAAAGATGGTACGATGTCAAGGCAAGTCAATCACACACAACAAATGTAAAGCCTCACGTCTATTTACGTTCAAAACGACTGATTTGGTGCCACTTTTAAAGCAGGTTTTAGTGATGACGTTATGTTTACAGGCCGACCCGGAAGTTAGTTTAGCAAAGGCTCCCTCGAAGAAAGCCAATGGGATTTCTCCATGTGAATTTGGATTATTGCAGAAAATAATCTCTGTGGCAAACAAACGTTTATGATACTTAGACGTTTTGTTCTGATGGATAATCTCTCTTTTTGATTTCTGAAGCTAACGTTAGGTTGGGCTATAAAGGAAATACAGCACGGTCACATGACTTCACATCACCACCGCTAAGCTAAAGGCGGCTAATGTTGGGCTATACAGGAAGTACAGCACGGTCACATGACTTCCCATCACCACCGCTAAGCTAAAGGCGGCTAATGTTGGGCTATAAAGGAACTATAGCACGGTCACATGACTTCACGTCACCACCGCTAAGCTAAAGGCGGCTAATGTTGGGCTATAAAGGAACTATAGCACGGTCACATGACTTCACGTCACCACCGCTAAGCTAAAGGCGGCTAATGTTGGGCTATAAAGGAACTATAGCACGGTCACATGACTTCACGTCACCACCGCTAAGCTAAAGGTGGCTAATGTTGGGCATGATGACGTTTAGTCGTCTCATTTAGACACTTGTTTGCAACTGATGTTTTTAAATTCACCAGTGGGGTATTTACTTACTGACATATTTGATGACGTTGAACAAAAATCTGTTAAGCTTGTGTTAACCACAGATCTTATTTAGGGCTAACAACCAAAAACACACCGCCAGAAGTAAAGAGCTAACGCTAAGCTAATGGCGTTATCGTGTCGGCGTGAAGACGTTTTATTTAGACACTTGTTAGCAACCAACGTTTTTAAGACACATATAGAGGCTTTGGGGTATTTGCTGACATATTTAATTGTATTATCTCATACGTTAAATTCTCTTTAGCTTGTGTTAACCACAGATCTTATTTAAGGCATCTAAACCACAAACTCGATCAGAAAAACGTTGACCTTGAGACGAGGGAACCTCAACATTTCCGGGTTTTAGGATTCATTCCTGCACCACTCTTATTAAGACAATTAAATCAAATTAAAAAAGGCAGATAATCAGACTTCTTCTTCCTGTATTCGGCTGTCATCTTTTAGGCAACAAAACAAAAAGGTGTGTGAGAGCTCGTCGGCACATTTAGATACAAAAAAAAAAGAGACATTTAAAAACAGGAAATGTTTTACGGTTACATACTCGTTAGTGATTTGCAGTGCAGCAGGTATTGCGTTTCTCTTCATTCGGCGAGAAATACCTCCACGTCTCTCATGGGAGGACAAACAGTGGATTGTAAATGTGTAACGTCAGCACCTTTCAGGAATAAAACATGTATCCTCACTAATATATCCCCCTATAATACAGAACATACACGTTACATGCACACACAGTCTCACGGCATTTCGTGTTATAGTCACGAAATTAATCTATTGATTCGTGTTCACCAACACACGATTTCGCCATTTTTTTCGTGTCACACAGAACGATTTTAAAAGCAATGTAAATAATAACAAATTAGAAGGAAAAACAGATTACATAAAATACAGATGTCAGTATTCTGAGGCTCTGAGCCATTTATTTTCCTCGCGGACGGCAAAAAAACTCCGACATTATACAATTTAAAATAAAAGGGATAGGGTTAGGCTTAGGGTAAGATATTGAGTAAGAAAATGTGTTTATGAACCACACAGCTTCTGGTCTTCCAAGACCCGACCGGACAAAAAGACGTGGTGCAGGCACGAAACATACTACCAATAGAAATACATTGCTTTTAAAAATACGAAAATCATGTTGGTGAACACGAATCAATAGATTAAATTAATTTTGTGACTATAACACGAAATGCCGTGAGACTGGGTTGTACATGCACACACAACTTTCGCTCTTACACACACACACACACTGTACAGAGTAAACATAACATATACAAATTCAGGTTGTTATAAATCTGTTTCATAAACAGTAACTCTTTAAATGCTCTTCTCTTCATATGCATGTTATCATCACATTAAAGAAACTATGGAAGTGAGTCTGCTCCATCTGATTATGAAATGAAAACGCCATTGGATTTATAGCATCGAATAATTATGCATTGAAATCGGAATTTTTGGGTCAAATTTTCAACAAGTTCATGGTTCAAAAAATTCTGTATACATGTTTCATGCTCAAATTTGATTGGCCAAATTTAGTTGCAAAAATATCAGGTATAAAATTCAGATTCAACATCCAGGAACCCAAGGAAAAGCAATCGATTCTAGATGCAATCTGAATTGTATACCTTGTATTTTTGCGACTGAATTGGGCCAATCAAATTTGAGTAACTTGAATATAGATTTTTTTAATGAGTTAATTCAGATGAATCAATTAAATTCACAACTATTCAGTGCTATAAATTCAATGGCTTTTTTAAAAATGTCAGAGTCAGATGGACGAGATTTACTTCCATAAGAAACGTCCTTTCACTCCAAAACAAAACCCAACATTATCTAATGCACGAAAGACACGTTACTCAAAAGGAATAAGAAGTAATATCATAGGCGTTTTAACTACGCTAAGTAAACTAGCTCTCTTCTTTCTGTTAATAAATCCTCCGTGTTAGCAGGAGCAGCAGATAAGGCCCGTCTGCTGCTTCCACCTTCAACACACACACACACACACGCACATGCACACACACACACACACAGGAAACAAAAAGAAGCAGCAACCTCGGCTCCGTCTTGCAAAATGCATATACAGTACACGAATAAAACAAGTATTTCCAGGATCATTAGGTATTTTTTGTCAGCGGAGGAGGCCTTCATTTGGCTTGACTACAGCACGAGGTTAGCTGTAACGGAAAAAGTGTTTGGAAGTGAATTCTCATCCATCTGATTTTGAACTTGGAAAGCCATTGAATTTATAGCACTGAATAATTATTGATATTGATTGAGGCCTATTTTCAATGCTTACAAATTCAGAATCTATTTTAGTTACTCAAATTTGATTGGCTCAATTCGGTTGCAAAAATACGATGTATAAAATTCAGATTAGATTTCGAATTGATTGCTTTTCCTTGGGTTCCTCAACGTTAAAGGGGACCTATCATGCAAAATGCACTTTTTGATGTCTTTTATACATAAATATGTGTCCCCGGTGTGTCAGGGAACTCACGCAGCGTCAGAAAATAAAACCCTCTCTTTTCCGCCGTCCTCACATCAGTTACAAAAACGGGGGTACAACGGAGCTGATCCAGATTTGCGTCCGATATGACGTAATATCTGAAATGTGGACCCACGGCCCTATCAGAAACGTTGCTATCAGAAACAATGCCCGACTGTTTTGGACGTAATATGGTCGGTGTTTACATTAGCATCGCTAACACTCAGAGCTAACCTGTACTGGAGAGCATGTGTGTGAAGAAGCAGGAAATAAAAAGGAACTCACCTTGTGGTATAACCGGCAAGAGAGAAAGCCTTTGAGCTCCATACTGTTTCAGAGATAATCCTTGATAATCCATGATATGGCGTTTCATCACGGCAGTATCTGCCGGTAGAATCTCCCGCATAAGCTCCGCCCCTCTTTTTTTATCATTTTTTTTTTTTAAAGCTTTATACCCCAAATCAGCACTTTTGAAACAGGAAGTGAAATAGAGGGTTATGAGGCATGGCTAGAATGGCTGATCTGTTTGGTATTTTGAGCAAAACACTTCATAGACATGTTTTTTTATATATTTTTATAAATCTGAGACCTATGCTATTGCCTAAAAATAGCATGATAGGTGACCTTTAAATCTGAATTTTATACATGATATTTTTGCAACTGAATTTGGCCATTCAAATTTCAGCAACTTCAAAATGTATATAGATTTGTTTTCATTTTTTTTTATCAATTAAATCCAGATCTGCATAATAATTCGATGCTATAAATTCAAAATCAGATGGCACAGATTTACTTCCATATAAGTGAGCCATCAGCTTCGTAACGCACGATAAAAGTGTTGATAATATAACTTTACACACCACCAAACTAAAGGCTAACGTCAGCGTTCACAGAGTGAGTTTTCTACGCTGGAAATGAACACAATGAGCTTTTCATCCACCCACACACACACACCTACACACACACACACACACACTAGTGTTTCTATGTTTTTCCATTAAGGCCGCATTTACACCCCCCAACAGAATTACACACCTTTTAAATGCATCCACTTTACTCCTGGGGAGTGATCTGTATGTGCTCTTAGCACCCCCCCTCGACATACATACACACATTTTTGTGGTCCGACCCTGAAGGCAGCATCTCCCTGGTTCCCTCCACAGAAAGCCAATGGGATTTCTCCGTGTGATTTTGGATTATTGCAGGAAATAATGTCTGTGGCAACTACAGCATGGTCACATGACTTTACGTCACCACCGCTAAGCTAAAGGCGGCTAATGTTGGGCGTGATGACGTTTAGTCGTCTCATTTAGACACTTGTTAGCAACCGCTGTTTTTAAATTCACCAGTGGGGTATTTACTGAAGTACTTTATGTCGTAGAACAAACATCTCTCCAGCTTGTGTTAACCACAGATCTTATTTAAGGTCATTTAAACAACCAAAAACACACCGTTGAAAACCATTGACTTCCAGACCAGGGAACAGGAAGTGCTGACTCATGTCCGGGTTTAGAACTCATTCCTGCACCTCTCTATTGCCTCCTGTAATAACTCGATGATAATAAACGTGTAAATATTTTTTTTTCATCGCTTTTGTGCAAAACATCTGCGGAGGAGGTGCAGCTAAACTTCAGGCGGGAGAGGGTTTACTCCCCCCTCCATGCACTGCGCCCCCTCAGGGAGGTGCTGCATCTTCCCTACACTCATCCTGCAGCCCCTCTCTTTCTCCCCCCCCTCCTCCCCCCCAGGCTCAAAGGCCCCCGCCTCGATGGGGCTGAGCTGGTAGTAGAGCAGGGAGGAGGAGGGGGAGTCTTTGAGGAGCTGCGAGGGGCTTTCCTCCTGGTTGTCAGTGATACAGAGCACAGTGGTCCCTGTGGGGAAGGGCCCCTGGAGGAGGACCTCGCCCGTGAGGCCCTCTTCGCCCGTGAGGCCCACCTCGCCCGTGAGACCCTCCTCCAGCTCCTCCCCCTCCCTCTCCCTCCTCTCCTGCTCTTCTGCGCTCTGCAGGTGAAGAACCGCCGTCTCGTTCTCCCGCTCCAGGAGATCCCGTTCCTCCAGGAGATCCCGTTCCTCCAGGAGATCCTGTTCCTCCGGCAGCTCCTCGTTCTCCTCCCGCTCCGAGGGGGAGAGAGTGAGGGAGGAAGAGGAGGGTGAGGAAGAGGGGGAGGAGTCGTTGTACTGCAGCCTCCTCTTCTCCAGGTCCAGCTTCATGACGGTGTGCAGGTAGTGGGTCCGGACCCTCAGAGGGTTGAACTCGATGCGTCCCGCGGCGTTCCCACATCCGTCCCGAGAGCAGCCGCACGGGAACGCCATGCGGTCGACCTGAGGAGGAGACACAGAGAGGTCAGAGTTCATTTATCAAAGTCAGTCAACTTTATACAGACGGAGATCAATATATACAAATAACAGTCACTTCAAAATCTGTGAAAAATGTACATTAGTGCAAAAGCTGAGACATGTTATAATGCACACTCTCTCTCACCTGCACACACATACCATAACCCTCTCACACCATCACACCCTCTCTCACCCTCACCTGCACACACACACCATAACCCTCTCACACCATCACACCCTCACACTCTCACACTCTCTCTCACCCTCACCTGCACACAACCTCTCACTCTCTCACCCTCACCTGCACACAACCTCTCACTCTCTCACCCTCACACAACCTCTCACTCTCTCACCCTCACACCTGCACGCACACCCTCTCACCTGCACCCTCACCCCCTCTCTCACCCTCTCACACACACTCTCACCCTCTCACGTCTCACAACCTCACACTCTCCCCCTCTCACAACCTCTCACACTCTCCCCCTCACAACCTCACACACTCTCACAACCTCACAACCTCTCACACCCTCACACTCCTGCACACACACTCTCACTCCTGCACACACTCACACACTCTCACACACTCTCTCACCTGTTTTTAAGCATGTTTTAAGTGTGTTTTCAAGCATATTTTTCAGCATGTTTTAAGTGTGTTTTCAGTGTGTTTTCAGTGTGTTTTCAGTGTGTTTTCAGTGTGTTCCTCTCACCTGGCACTTGATGCCGGCCTGGCTGCAGCCGCAGTGTTTCGGGTCGCAGTACAGCCGGCAGTCGCAGCCGCACTCCTCCCTGGAGAGGCGGATGTTCCTCAGCTCGGCCTTCTCTCGGGCGTCGATGCGAGCGACGCCGGACGCTCTCAGCAGGGCGCGGCGCCGCTTGGTGGGCAGCGGCTGCAGGAAGAAGCAGTCGTCCACCTCCACGCCGTCCACGTCCAGGTCCTCGTCCGACACGTCCTCCAGCGTCAGGAGGTCGGCCTGAGCGCACTGCACCGTGCCGTTCCTCGTCAGCTGCAGGACACAGGAAGGGAAGGAGTGAGGAGATATTTAAAGCTGGAGAGCAGGAGGATTATCCTGAGGCGTCAAAAACAGCTTCTACTGAACAGCTCTGTCACTTTATTTTAGATAATTTAGAGGGAGAGGAAGAGGAGGAGGAGGAAAGAGTTTAAATAGCACTGCACCATTTTTCGGCATTTTATCCAAAAATGGATTATTCAATGTGTTTTGAGTGTGTTTTAATAGTTTTTCAGTGTGTGTTCAGTGTGTGTTCAGTGTGTGTTCAGTGTGTGTTCAGTGTGTGTTCAGTGTGTGTTCAGTGTGTGTTCAGTGTGTGTTCAGTGTGTGTTAGGCGCCCCCCCCCACACACCTTCATCTTGCGCTGCTGCAGCTTCTCGAGGCGGAGGTGCTGCTGCAGGGTGAGGCGGTGTTTGCTCTCTCTCTCTCTGGAGAACTCCCCCAGGGTGAAGCTCCTGATGGAGGAGTGGTGCCTGGCCATGCCCAGAGAGCTGCCCCCCTGGCTGGGGACGCTGGTGAAGCCCTGCCGCCGCGGGAAGTAATACACCGTCACCGCGTCGAACCTCACCCGCTTCCCCCCCGCCGAGACACGCTGCGGACGGAGGATGGAGGCCGCTGAGAGGGAGAGAGAGGGGAGAGAGAGGAGAGAGGGGAGGAGAGAGGGGAGGAAAGAAATTGGGTCAGGTGACAGTTGCAATTTCAGTGTGTTTTAAGTGTGTGTTTAAGTGTGTTGTTAAGCATGTTTTAAGTGTGTTGTTAAGCATGTTTTAAGTGTGTTTTTAAACATGTTTAAGTGTGTTTTTAAGCATGTTTTAAGTGTGTTGTTAAGCATGTTTTAAGTGTGTTGTTAAGCATGTTTTAAGTGTGTTTTTAAGCATGTTTAAGTGTGTTTTTAAGCATGTTTTAAGTGTGTTTTTAAGCATGTTTAAGTGTGTTTTTAAGCATGTTTTAAATGTGTTGTTAAGCATGTTTTAAGTGTGTTGTTAAGCATGTTTTAAGTGTGTTTTTAAGCATGTTTTAAGTGTGTTTTTAAGCATGTTTAAGTGTGTTTTTACGCATTTTTTAGGTGTTTTTAAACATGTTTAAGTGTGTTGTTAAGCATGTTTTAAGTGTGTTGTTAAGCATGTTTTAAGTGTGTTGTTAAGCATGTTTTAAGTGTGTTGTTAAGCATGTTTTAAGTGTGTTGTTAAGCATGTTTTAAGTGTGTTTTTAAGCATGTTTAAGTGTGTTTTTAAGCATGTTTTAAGTGTGTTGTTAAGCATGTTTTAAGTGTGTTTTTAAGCATGTTTTAAGTGTGTTTTTAAGCATGTTAAGTGTGTTTTTACGCATTTTTTAGGTGTTTTTAAACATGTTTAAGTGTGTTGTTAAGCATGTTTTAAGTGTGTTGTTAAGCATGTTTTAAGTGTGTTTTTAAGCATGTTTTAAGTGTGTTTTTAAGCATGTTTAAGTGTGTTCTTAAGTGTGTTTTAAGTGTGTTTTTAAGCATGTTTAAGTGTGTGATTTAAGTGTGTTTTAAGTGTGTTTTTAAGCATGTTTAAGTGTGTTCTTAAGTGTGTTTCAAGTATGTGTTTAAGTGTGTTTCTTGTTAAGTCTGGTTTCTCCTTACGGGTGAACGGGGCGCTGCAGGGGGGGTTCAGACTGTCGCAGCTGTCGGCGCTGTCGCTGCTCGACACGTCTTCATCCGAGTCTTTGGGCGTCGAGAAGGGAGAGCCGGCGTCGACTTCCTCATATCTACGCTTCAGAGAAGATGGAGACTCCATGGAGACTCTCTGACTGAGGAGGAGGAGGAGGAGGAGGAGGAGGAGGAGGAGGAGGAGGAGGAGGAGGAGGAGGAGGAGGAGGAGGAGGAGGAGGAGGAAGAAAGAGTTTAAAATAGCACTGCACAATTTATCTGCATTTTATCCAAATTGCAATATGGAGGAGTGCAATATCTAAATCACAGTAAACACAATATTTATAAAAAATTGGACTCCTTTGTTTACTTCAGGAACATAGTGACATCACTATGGAAACACTCGCGCTAGCGCTCCAACA